CTTACCTTTCCTACCTACTCTGAAACTGTCCTGTCATTAATAAAGACCAAACAGAGAAAAATAATAAAATAAAAAGACTTTCTAGGATGTTTTGTAGCTGTAAGGCGTTTTAATGCACCATGCTTATCATTCACCTGATTCACTGCCAATCTTTAGGCTTCATTGCAAAGGAATTAATAATCCATCATGCGTAACGGCTACATGTAAGGCCGAAGCAGTGCAGTGTTGGATCCTTCAGTTTATTGAAGAAAAAATGACTCTTCCTCGAGGTGCTTTGATTTCCCCTTGTTATTTAACTAACAGCAGCTAATTAAGTCTCTGTTGTAGCAGAAAAAAATTAATGGCACAACCAGTGAATATTTACTTCTTTGTCTGATTATTTTAAGTCTTCAGGAAAGAGGAAAGGTACAGCTGACAGGGGCTCCCTCCGTGAGCAAGCAACAGTGCTGTTGCGTCGTAACTGAAACTGCAATAAACAAGCCTACAAGCATGTACAAATTAATTGGATGTGGTGTAAAATTGCTGCCTTTGATAAGTGAAGGCGCAGATCCCACACACACACAGACACACACCGTTAACTGACTGGCACTCAAAACATGTTGTAGCCACAGTAACTGTCTCTTTGACATTTTCAGATCCAGTCTTTTGTGCCTTAAGATGACTCGAATACCCAAATAGGTTTTTGCTGGCAGAACAAATGCTGGGATGCAGATCGAGCCAGCTTCGATTTCAGTTGAAGGAACGCAGAAGAATATAAGGCGTTCATATCACGTACGTTTATGGGATTAATCTTATCCGGGACAAAGTGGAGTCTCCATAAAGATGATGACAGCAACGATGACAAGACAGGAGGTTGCGTATATACTTGACTGCGTTACGTAACGCTCACATATCCAGGATGCTTTATCTGTAGCCATCCACTAATTCGCCGTAACACATAAATACACTAGCCGCCTGTTTTCTTAGCAACAAAACAGCACATGTCACAGAGGATTTGTCAGATACACACTTCTGAACTCATTAGACAGTGTGAGCATCGCAGGGATTTTAAAGCCCACGCCGATGTTTAACTCAGTGCAAAAAACCTCAAACATACCTGATCAGATTAAATTTCATTAGTTTCATTGGATAATATTTTAAGCCATATTTATATAAAGTCTCACAAGGTTTTTGAAACTTTTTCTTTCTTTTCCCCAGCAGCTTCACTCTTTGTTAGTTTTTGTCTTTAAAACACTGTTTTGTTGACATTTCCTTTACTTAAGTGCTCATTGCAAACACAGTACACAATCCCAGTGAGTAAATACTTTGAGAAGATTTGTCTCATTATTCTATTCCTGCATCAGAGACTGGGGGAATAACTAATTAAAAAGCAAGTCACAGTAAACTCTTTCTGTCTCTCTGGTCATCAGCCAGTGAGGTAGTAAAGCCAGCTTAGCATCCCTGATAGCTCTATATTTAGGTAGCTTACTGAGAACCTTCTGTGTTTGTTTGTGAGCTTTCAAACTGTGAATACGTTAAAATCCCAAACAGTAATCTGAGCCGCTAAAAGCTGTAGTTAAAAACAAACAAAACGTTGAAATGATGAATTAAGAAAAAGGGGAAATAATCAATGAAACATCAGTGCGTGTAAATCGTACATCTCATCGTATCAGATGCTGATGCCGCCGCAGAACAGCGCTCATCTACAGCGTCTTCCGTTACTGTAAGGCGAGCAGCTCTCATAATGGCAGAGTGGTCGAGAGTCAAACAGAGGTGAAAGTAGAAGTCGGCGCCGCCGTCGTCATTGTGACTGCGCATAAGTAACACGCTGTTGCTGAGAGCGAGTGTGGATGGGCATTAATGTGACAGTTACACAGCAAGGTGTGGAAGACGGCCTGTCTGCTGTCCTGTTGGCTTAACCTTGAACATATTCATTCACGCACACACACAGCTACAGAGGACGTGATGGTAGAGGGCATCCAGAGTTTACAAGGGAGGTCAGTGTGTGTGTGTTTTTTGTCTTCAGGAAGAACAGCAGGGGGAGAGGGAGACTCGCAGGGTAGCAGTGCTTTAATGTCTCTCCAGATTTTTTTTTGCATTGCACTTTACAGCTTGAAATGATTGCGGTTATTAATTAAGCCTTTTTCTCTTTGGTGGAGGAGATGTTTCCAGTTTTGTGGATTATAACAAAAGAAAACGTAAGGCCAAGATAAACGAAGCCGTGCGGTGAGGTGAAGCATGGGGCGAAGTAAGAACCCGATAAATGTTGGATCCTGATCACTTTAGAAGTGCGAGTTAAGGCATTTGGTGCAAGTCTTAAAGTGCCCTTCTAATTTTTCTGACTCATGGTCCTGCCTTTCCTTCCAGTTGGTGCACTGATGATTAGCTGTCACTGTGTGGGGGTGCATTGCTACTTTGGAAGGTGGATGCATTAACAGCACAATGCAATAAGCCGTGTTTTATGTGACTAATGTTTCTTCAGGTGGAGGAGTTTTAGGATGTCTGTCTGACTGCAAAGTTAATTCCCCCTCCCACTCATGCCCCACTCTGCTCTACTGTATGATTAGGCCAGTCAGATATGGTCATCAGCACTAACTGACACCGATGATACTGTTAGCTCTGTGTGGAGGAGGGTGTGAGGTTAAGTTGTTAACATTCAGTCTAGAAAGTTCATATTTAGCACTTAGCTAACCAGCAGTGTGGTTTTTTTTTAAATGCTTATTTTATATTTGATTGCATAAACCACGAACGTCAAACTTTCCTCCAAGTTGCATTCGATTTTTTTTTCTTCTCAATTTAATTTTAGTCATGTCCTGCTTCTGAGATGCTGCTTGCAGCTGCAGAGCTTTCGTGATGTCGAGGTGTCAGACTTCGTTAAGTGAAGTCACATCTGTCTCTAATAATTCCCATAAAAGCTGTTGGTTCATTTCCTGTTGCAGCTCATGACATAGCGATCCTTTTAAATAAGAGGAGATATTCACTGATGGGGACATTTCAGTAAACTGGTGCAGGTGACCCAGTTTGTAATTTTAGTTGTGACATTTCTGACTAATATTTTGTTGTTACCTGACTGCCAGCTAACCTGGGTATGATTGTGGTATCTTTGAATCCTTTTGAATCTTTTAGCAGTTGTTAATGGCTTAAGTATCAACATTTAGAAGTTACCAGCCTGTAATTATTGTTTGTCTGCAAGGCAGAACCCACAACTTGACAGTCTAATTACAGCGTATCTCACCTGAAAATGAGATGACACACTGAAATAACAACGGCATCCTACCTGCATCTCACACAACTTACAATTTATTCTACACGAGGTCATTGGTTAATATTCTGGAAGCTGCTAAAAGCTCAACACTGTGTGTTAATCTCTAGAGGCAAATACATTTAATATGTCATGTTTCTTTTTTAATTCTTGACTTATTTTATAACAATAATGAACCACTACATTAAATATAACTAGCCATTATTGACATTCACACACAAGTTATTTTATCAATTACCTGGTTAATATTTTTGTCTGTAATTGAAAAGAAGCTTTTAAAAATCTGTTGATAGGCTGAGTTCATGAAACTACAGTACTGTGCAAAAGACTGGACCCTGTCTCCATAAATGTATAACACATGAAATAATAGGTGGCTGTTAAGAAGCCATTCTTAAGGAAGGGAAACAGGGAGAAAAGACCGAATCCAAATTTGAAATATCTGGTTATCAAATCGTCATCAGTTTGCATGGAGGAGGTCAGAAGAGAGGTGCAGCAGTAAGGGTCCGCTGCCATCTGTAAAACACGGTGGAGGCTCTATCATGGTTTATGGTTGCATTTCAGCCAGTGGTGTTGGGATTTTCCCAAAATTGATGGAATGGATTGTCCTCCCTCTAGAGCCCAGACTGAATCAGTCTAATCATCTTGAGAGAAAACGGAATAAAAGGCAGCCAACATCCAAGGAAAAGCTTTAAATGTCCTTCAAGAAGCCTGGAAAAATATTCCTGAGGACTGCTTAAAAGAAGGCTCAGACTGAATGAAGGTGGCCGTACTAAATATTGACTTTTAAACTCATTCAAATTGTACATCTTGTCTCATGTGCTGTATTTCCACGTATGTTTGCACGTGCTTCAATAAGTCACTGCACTTGTTTCCTGTTTTTCCCTGCGACATATAAATTATTATGTGTTGGCTAAAGACTTACACAGTACTGTGGATTTCTTTAAATCAGATGAAATCACAGAACCTAGAGATATTGTGTTTACTCTATGCTTACAAAAGTAATAAAATAAAGTAAAAACCGAATTTAGAGAACGTAGAACTAGAGAATCTGTTTTTTAATTTTTAAGAAATTTCTCATCATTATGTAGTTCCAATATTTTTAGGTGGAAAAGTGATCAAGTTCATTACACATATAAAATATAATTCATGTGTCTTAGACAACAGACAACAGCAGCACAGTTCAGACAGTCTCCTCTCGTCCTCTGCTGTGTTTGTGTCGAACTGCTCAGACCGCCGCCTCCAGTATCTGTTACCTCCTTAACTAAAGCTGAAGGTCAGAGAAAAGGTTGACCAGGAACCTTGACTGTAGACGAGATGTAACAGTGTCACACCGATGTGGACTAGTTTGAACTTTGTGCAAGATATGAGTGTATTTATAACCCAGCAGCCTGCTTCAAATGTGCTCTTAATCAGCGGGAGAGCAAGTCGAGAAGCATGTGTCTCTGTTTCAGTGGGTTTAAAGTAGTGGGCGCGTTTAAGGTGTCATTGATGGCGCCTGCGTGTGGAAAGTGTAAATATTTAAAGGTGTGCATCGTCACCCTCTATGACCCATTTCTCCTTTTTCTAATCTATTCATGTTTAACAAACATAAAGAGGTGTTACGCCTGAAAAAATGGCTGAGGTATATTAACGTGGACATCAAGCAGATGGTCATAAGGGCATTTTTTTAAGTGCAGGTCGTGTTTTCAGTTATTTGTGTCAAATATGTTGACTTTCCTCTAACTTTCAACAAAACCTCTCCGTTTTCCCCTCTCCTCAGCTGAGCCTCTTCCTCTGATGGACCTGTGTCGGCGTGCGGCCAGAGTGGCGTTAGGTCGGGACCGGCTTCAAGAGATCGAGCGCCTTCCTCTGCCCCAGTCCTTAAAAAATTACCTCCAGTACCAGTGACTGACATCTGTAGAGCCAGCTGGGAATACAAGGAAGTCCGAAGATGGATGATCGATGCAAGCATGTCCACAGTGGGAGCGCCACAGCTCTTGCAGATTTCTAAAAGGATGGATATAAAGATGGTGTCTGAACTGACGGGGGTCAAACAAAGAATAGGACAGCACCAGCTTCTTTTGGATTTTGAGCTGCTTTTTTTCATTCGCGCAGAACTTGAAATAAATTCTTAATGATGGCGTCCCATCAGTGTCTCACTCATCCAGAATAAAAGCCCATCCTCAGATGGCACAGCGTGGTTAAGCAGTCGAAAAGACTGTGGTAAGACGACCACCGCCACCTAGTGACGGGAATAAAAACAGCACAGAGAAAGCACACTAAACCCATCCACGGAGGCCTTTCTGACGTGCAGTCAGCGACCATTATCATTGCTGTTGGATCCCATAGAGAGTGTTCGTGATCTCCACTGGCGCAGGCTGCAGAGTCCAGATGTCCAAAAGGATTTTAGCACTAATGTTTTTATCAGATTGACATCGGGCCGCGACCAAAAGCTCACACTGCATACAGAGCACATCAAAGTGTGGCTAATGGGCTCTATGCACAGTTTGAAAGTTAGTATGCCAAAAGATATGTCCTGGCTTCAGAGAGACATTAGTTAAAAGATAAGCCCTTTTCAGACATGTAGCATTTCTGGCCCTTTTAAATGAAGACTTAGAAAGATATTCGTAACAACTATACACGCACATAATGTTCGTCACGTTATGAAGAAAAAGTGCTCTCTTGCAATAAAAATTAACTTAAGGCGGGGGGGGGGAGAGTCACTAGTTCTCACTCAGTTTTAAGATGTTTTAACATATGACAGATTTTAATCTACTGTTGTTTTATGAGATTCCAGTAGAGCTATATGGAAACCGTTTTACATACAGGATGTTTCTGATCCTGTATGTGTGGAAATCAATGAATTAGTCGACTGATTTAACCAAACGGATGTTTAGGCTGAGATTTCTGCCGATTTTTGTTTATGGTGCAGAATTTTCAAAAAGCTATAAAAAAGTAAAGTGATTCATCCTTTGCTGTGTGCAAAGTCTCTGCAACCAAAGCTTGCTCTAATGTGATTGATCAGTAGAACTCCAACAACATGTGCACTACTAACTGAAACCGGAGTGCTCCCACTAAGCAAAATCTTGTCCCTTGATTTTGCATATTTCACATACAGAATCTGGTACTATCATAGTGATCACCCTGAACAAAAGCTGAGAAATTAAGGGCGATTATTATTTAATGTATAAACAACTTTAATAAGTTAGATTGAGCTCATTAACTGTACTTCACTGCCCTACAAACTACAGATTGTTTGAATATGGAGCTCCCAAAACTTCTGGAGCAGTGAGGCTTTCAGTTGTAGCAGATGTAGCTGACGATCACCAACAATAATCAGCAGCCTGTCATCAGATTTTTAGTTTAGTGGAACTGCTCTGCGTGTCTGAAAGGGGCCAATCATGCTTGTTGTGTAAAGTATTGGAATTTTTTTTTTACTTTCTTTTTGATTCTTTGTTTTGTTTTTTACGGCACTGCGAACCATTCCTCACCAGACACTAGATCATGTATTACGATGTCATCTCACAACCAAAGTATATCACAGGAAGCTGCAGAGTGCACGAATGTATCTGCGAGCTGCAGGTCGCGGGCCGGACACGCTGTTGGCACGAAGACGCCACCTGCCGCTGTTTGTAGCACCCTGCTGTAGCTCACCGCGGGCGGACGGTATCCGTCGCGCTCGCCGCACAACTGTCTTAATGACCACGAACGACAAACTGACAGGGGCGGATCTAAGCCGACTCGATCCGCGACTCGAGGCTGTAGCAGCGCGGGCGATGTGCTGCTGGCTCATAATAGGATGCAGATGACCAATGCACAACCACACACGTGCTCACTGAAGACCAATCACGTTTTCTTTCCAATTAATGACTTAAGTCAGTTTTTTTGGTTTGATTTTTTTTTTTTTTACTCTTGGGTTTATATCCTTCATTAATATTATTATTATTAATATTATTATTGTTATTGTGAGTGTGGGGGTCTGACTGATGACGGTAGGAAGACGATGTTTATTTATAACAGGCTAGTTCTGTTTGTTTCATTAAACTGATCATTGATGGTTACATTCAGGTAAATTAAATGCAAAGATGCTGACGATGAAGGGAGAGAAATTAAAAATTGTTTGTTCGATGCTGCTTTTATTATTATTAATATTATTTTATTATTATTAATATTATTATTATTTGTGATGGCGGTGGTCTTACCTCCTGTTTCTGTAGGTTAGGATGGGGGAGGAAAGGACCTGTTCACGTACGTAGTCGAATGTATGGACAGACAGTGCAGTTGAGATGTCAACAGACATGAAATGTGAATAAAAGCCAAGTGAATTTCAAACTAAATCTCTGTGTTTCTCTTCTTTACTTCATCTCGTAAACTGGGCCCGAAAACAGCAGACTGCAGGAGCGTTTACAGTGCTAAAGTCAGCCTAAACACATCTTACAAGAAAAAAGGTGAATAAATAAGGTGCGAGTCCGTTGGGTCGACAGTTTCAGCATCTTTAATTGCATCTCCGGGAGCATTTTATCTCCCAAGCAAGGCTTTGGTAGGCAAAATTGGGCTGTTAAGTATTTAGCTGTAAGTTCTTGTCAAGTGTGCAGTTTCCACTTGAGGACGTAAACGGCTAATGCTGTACTCATCAGCTCCTGCAGCTGTAAATACAGCTCACGCTCAGCCGGAGAGAGATACCGATGCCCTAAAACGTCCGGAGCGCAAACGCAAACATTACCGAGGCTCACTGTAGTTTTAGGCGTCATATTTCCGCTGCACAATCTGAAATCAGACTCCCACTGAAACATCATTAGGTCCAGGCTCACCATATCTCAGCACACAGGGGACTGTTTTGGAGATCAATAGCAGACAGACCATGTAATGATGCTCCTGCGTCATCATCCTGCCATAGATGGATCCAACACTTAGTTTAACAGGACATTGTGTATCCTTAAACACACACTCACAGACTCTTTATGTCTAACAGAAGGCAGACCATCAGCAGTTTTATCTGCCTAATGAGTCACATGAGCATAAATCTTGCTCAAACTCCACAGCAGAACTGATAATCTTGTTTTTAATATGAGACAGTAAATTCAAAAAGACATCTGTGTGTATCTTACATTCAGAGACAATGCTTTAATTTAAAAATATATACATTTAAATTGGTGGATGGTTAACATTGTTATTCACTGCATCCTTGCAGTTGTCAATAATTTTAATAACTAAAGTAAATCCCACAACCTTACTTAGACTGGCCTGGGGAGACTCACCTCTTTGATGGAAGTAGAAAATATGTGAAATGTTATTACAACAACAGGCACTTCTCCATGATGGATTATAGACAACAAGCCTTCCTTCTACTTTTAGATTTTTCACTTCAATCTGCCCCCAAAGAATATCTTGCATCTCTCAAATAACACAAAAGTCATTCGAGATCAATTCACACAACGATTTCAAACTTGTGTAGCTTGGAAAATGACCTCATATAAACATCTCCAGTTCCACGTTTGTGCTCTCGCCAAGTGTCCGAGCAAAAAGTAAAGCAGCTTAGTGAAATGTATGGTGTGACAAAAATCTGGAGAGCACAGCAGAGGCAGGCATGAGTATCATGTCTTCGGTAGTAAAATCCTTTTAGCTTATACTAAAATAAAATATCTGACCTTAGAGGAATACAGTGCCTGCTGTATCCAGTCTGTTCAAAACATTTGACCCTCATGCTCGCTAAAGCAGAGAATTGGCAACAAAGCTGCTGTTATTTTTCTATTCTGGGACTTGGGCAGGAAGCAGAGGCGTGAAAAGGGTCCGCGACACAACGCGCCTTTCCTTTTTTCCTCCCCGAGTTAGATAGTTTGGCCTCAGAGTGGCGATAAAGACCAGGAGAGAAAATGTTTAAAGTGGAGAGCTATCTGAATAAACGGCAGCGACATCCTTCAATATTTTGCTTTCCTGTCATCAGTTTTTAGATAAAAAAAGGGACTCGCTGAACAAATGTGCTGAGGGAAACAAACATTATGTGTTGCCAATGTAGCTGAGCGAGCCAGAGCACTCATCACATAAAACTGTTATGACTGTGACCATCTGGGGCTGCATGGGCTGTTTTGGCTGTGGCGCTACAGTGTTTTTCAGTGTTACCAGCCCTGAAAAAAATCAACACAGAAAGACAAAGAGAAGAGGGAACTCCCACTTTGCCTTAAAGCAAGGAGAATGTCACTTCGTAGCCGGAAGAATAATAATTACGTGCATTTGCACTGCAGCCTCTCATCTACCCCAGCAGATCAGCACACACGCAGCGGTCCATTAGTGAAGTAAAAAACAAAACAAGGGGACAGGTTGAAACGCGAAGGAAAAGAACAGGGATGAGAAACAGGACCCTTTGCCTGATAACAGGGTTGATGGTGTTGCTATGGTGTGTGACACACATACGAGGGACTGTGTGCATGTGCGTGCAAGTCTGTAAGTGTGTCGGAAAATTAGTAGGCAAAGCACAGAAACACACACATACTATATGTCCGTAGTTTTTCCAGCCAACGCTGGAACAGTCCAACAGGATGAAACTGTGTTAATCCTGTTTAAATATCCTAACCCATTCCAGAGGGTGTGTTTGATGTGTGTCAGAGCATGACAGTTTTTGTCCACTTGGTTTCATCCCTCAGTGTTAAAGTTGCATATCTTGATCATGAGTGTTAGCATATCCTTGTCTTTGGATAAATATGAGGAACATCCATACATACATCCATCGGTTATTCAATTCCACTCTGGCCAGGTTGCCGGGGAACAACAACATTAAATTAATTTACAGTGAAAAATCCAATCAAGAGATCTACAGACTATAAAAAACAACAACACATATTTGCAGTAAAAGAGCTGAACAAAGTCAATAGCTATTAATTGCATTCTGGCCCCTCTGAGGTCCATTACAGTGTTATTGAACATTCGGTGCTCTTCAGTTAAGAAGGCACATTAAGCTACTAATTAGTCAATTGCATTTCTTCATCCTCAGGGATCCAGTGTGTACAGAAGTGAACAGTCAGCAATACTGTGAACACCAAGCCAGAACAAAGCTGCAACTCTTTATATGCACAAGATCTTAGTGTTTAATAGATCCACTTTAATGAGTGCCGGTCAATGAAAAGCTCTGTGGGATCACCACTGACTGACCACACGCTGAGGCTTCTGAACACTTCTTGCAAACTTCAAATTAAGAGTCATTTTAGGATGCTTATGAGACATCAAAGCGCCAATGACAAAAGTTAAATATGCTTTAGTTTAGGCTCACACATGCCAACACACATGTGTTGGCATGTGTGAGCCTAACACAAAAAGTAAGGAAATTTGTATTTGTGCGATTATTTCTTTGTTGTAGCAATGCTTCTTTGCAATAAATCATATTCTGTTCCAAAGCCTGTTTATTTCACTTAAATGGTCCCACATTTGTTGAGCAGCAGAGTTGAGTATGCAGGTTGCACCCATGAAAAACTTGGCAAATCTTCTCTGCCAAACAGCCTATTTTGCTGCTGAACCTTGTTTTGAGCTTCTGGTTCCCACCCGGGGCTGACTATCAGGCATCTGATTAGCACCTTTTAGTCAGCGTCTGTGAGCATGGACCCTGCTACAGCAGTCAGTTGTTGTCTCCTCTAAGCATGCCACGTTTGACTGATCTGGATAGAGCCTGTAAAATAGGCCAACTTCGAGCAGTGTTATTTGGAGCAAGCCCAAGTACCATCTCCAGATTGAAGAATGAGTTCCATATAATGGGCGATGTCAGAGATGGGCTGCAGAGTGGGCGTCCTAAGAAGACCGAATGGGCAGTCTGCCACTGATTTGCAGTTAAGGTTTGTGGGACAATATGACCGACGGCTCTCTACGAAGAAGCTCTGGAACAAACTTCACACAGCCAATGTTATATTCAGTAAGGAGTCCAGATTCTGCCTACAATAGTTGGATGAAAAGGTTAAAAGGTGGAGAAGACGCAGAGAAAGGTATCCTGATTATACACTAATAGGTTAACACCTTAGGTGGAGGAAGTGTGACTGTGTGGGGCAGCATCTCCCTCGCTGGAAAAAAAGGCTTTTAATCATGGGAAGTAATCTCAATGCAGAGAGATGTCTGCAACCAGAGGCAATCCCATATCTCGTTGCCATGGACAACCAAACTTTGACCTTCATGTTTATCCCAGACTACCTACTGCCTGCAGTCCTGACCTCAACCCTGTTGAAAACTTGTGTGATCAGTCTGGGCGTGCTGTTTGTGCCAAACTCTTGAAGAATGGGATGTCATCCCACAGCAGTGTGTGACCAAGTTGGTCACCAGCATGAGTAGACTGTGGCAGGCTGCTGTGGTGGTGTATGTTTGTCCATATGCTACTCAGGCCCTTTTTTGCTAAATGAATCAATTTTTATAATTGCCAATATGTTTCTTGTTTCTTCAGACTTCAATCACCCAATCCATTAAACGACACCGAAGAAGAGGCCTAGAAGATTTGGCAAGTTTTTCATGGACACAGCCCACACACTCAACTCTGCTGCTCAACTCACAAATGCATTTGTCTTACAAATGTGGCATCATTTAAGGGGAAATAAACTGGCTTTCCGACAATATAAGATTTACTGCCAAGAAACATCGTTACAGCAAAAACCAAGTGTGAAGTTTAGTTACATGTACAGTTTGGCTTTCTGCAGGAAAGCTGACAAGTGGCTTTTTGTTTCATTTTAAAATATTGCAAGATAAGATTAAACTTACAACCTGTTTAACAGCGCATAAATTCATATTGGTATGTGTTCCTCTTCATCAGCCAACAACCGTGCATGTAACAGTTTTCTGTTTTTTGTGGAGTTTTCGCAGAACTGATCTCTCAACGTGCAGTCATTGGAAGGTGAGTTAGGCCTTCCACCAGCAGGGGGCAGTAATGCTTCACAGTTGTGAGCTGAACCTTGTAAGATCGGTTTGCATGTATTTAGTATGTATTTGTATTAATGTGAGATTTGGCAGGGGGCGAGAATAAAGAAAAAAACAAGTAAAAATGTTGCATTGGGGGCTTCAGTCGATTTCTTTTCTTTGTGTACAGACTGTGATCAGCTGACCTGCTGCTGCGCTGACATTTAATGCTCTTTGCGGATTTAGCCAGCTGAAGTCAGATATACGTAGATGTTACATGAGCTGTATGACTGATTCCCAACTCCTGGATAAGACAAAGCGACTATAAAAGGTAACCAAGATGATCGGATCAGTGTTACCTTACACTGAACAGCTACATCTATATTTTTATATACAGCATAAACCTGCTCTTGTTCTCCAAACAGCTGTTGTCCTGTGGCACAATCATTACATCACGTTCAGAGCTGTGTCTCTGAACATGTTGCACACCCCAGGGCGGCAGCAGCAGTCTCCCTCGCTCTGGACACGCACAGTGATTCACAACTGTTGTGTTTTCAATATGTCCCAGTTGCACAATATTGCATCACTGAATGCACACTATCCCAATCAGTGAGAATCTTTACCACAACATTTAGCTTTTTCTAATTCAATAAAAATGAATATTACACGAGTTTAGATTAATATTTATCTTTTTTTTTATGAAAAAGTAAGAACAAAACAAAAAACAAATAAACATTTTAATCTAAGAAATTGATCAAACAAGCAGCTGTGAAGCCGAGCTGTTTAGGGCAAGGTGCTTTTGTTTTTGTTGCTGTAGCGCCCTCTAGTGACCAAAGGAAAAAGCGTTTTCCCAATAATTGTGCCACCACTTTTGTGACATGTTGATATTGATATATATGACATATTTGATTAAATCTCCAAAAAGTTATAAGAACATACATTCAATTTCATTTATATAGCAGCAAATCGCAACAACAGTCACCTCAAGGTGCTTTATTGTGTAAGATAAAGACCTTACAATAATATGAGAGAAAACCTCAACTAATAAATGACAAATGACCCCCGTTAGATGTAATGATTAAATACAAACACACAGAGTGAAGAGTTCAGTGAAGAAGAAACAGTCGGTCCCATCATAGTGTGCTGTTAACTGTGCCTGTGCTTTTACTATGCATATGAAAATAGAAACTGTGAAACCTGAAACTCCAAATTTAAACAAAAACGGGCAAATAGCTCAAAGGTTAGACAATAAAAAGCTTCAATCCTTTGGTGAAACTAGAGTGCTTAAGGCAGAAACATGAAAAACAACAGAAAGGAATCAGGAAATGGTTTGACTAATAAGAGTCTGATAGAGGATACACCACGATGATGAAGGAAATAAAGGTTAGTATTTGCAATTACACCTGCACCCGCTGACAGAAACAGAGAGAGGCTGACAAATTGTTGTAGCGTCAGCTGAGTGCTGCACCTTGTGGCACAGTATGACCCAGCTGTTTTGGCACGTGGGGTCCTAAAACGACTGAATATGCAGAAATAATCCTTGCTAATAATAACCTGCTATGCACATACAATATGTTCTGGGCAATTATATGAAAAACAGTCCAGTGATTATTTTAAGGGATGAAGACAAGGATCATTTCAGGATTGTCCCCCCTCCAAAAAACAGAAGATGCAGGTAAGTGATTGAAAATTCAAAGTTCCCCCCAATTTATTTTGGGACCTTTTAAAAACTCTTGTTTCTGAGTTTTCAAACTGCTCACCTCGTGCACGAACCATTTTGCAGATTGAAAATCTATTACACAGAGCATCTTCCTTCCTTTTGGCTCAGAGGCAATTTGAATAAACACAGTGATTCCATGTGAACCCCACCTGCCTCTGTCTGTGTAAGCCTGTAATGAAAACAAATGAAACACACAGGCAGCCAGCTCCAGCATGATGCATTCATGCAGCTGGCCAACACCTACAATGACAGCTCATTAATTATTCAATTTATAAGCTGCTCGACACACACACACGCGCACACGCATGCACACACAGTGCACATCAGGTCAGGTGTATAGCGTAGAGACAGGAAGGAGAGCTTTGTAGAGTCTAAAACAAGTCTTTATTGGTCAATATACAGGAAGCAGTGGGATGACCACTAAAGAGAGAGAAATCCCAACCACAGAGTTTACAAAAAGAAAAAGAAACTGATATATAAAATAAGTGTCTTGAACATTTTTACAGGGTTTGTTATTATATGTAAAAGAACCTTTTTTTAATCTTTAATCTTCAGAAGCATATTATGACAAAGAGGGAGGGAAAAAGGAAACAAGGCAGTTATTTCACAATGATGACATCACAACCACAGGCCAACAGAAGGAGGGACAGGTGAGCAGGACACATAGTATCAGAGAGCTCAGTGAGAGAGGTCGTCATAGATACTGTCCACACACGAACGTGTGACCGGTGCTTTCCTGTGAGCAGAGATGGGAATGTCACGGTTTCTTTTAGCTTTTAAACAAACTGGAATTTAATTTTGTCAGAGTGAGTGTTAATCAGTAATGACGCCGGTACAAAGAGGAATGACTGTAAGTGAAGTATCCACTTCTTCTTGTAGCTGTGGTGAAGTTGTGCAGGAATGTGGATATACTGTATAAGCGCTGCTTCTTTTCTCCTAAATTTACCACCGTTTCTGTCAACATCTACGCACGACTTCAAACGGGCGCTCCGACAACTTTGCACAATGAATTTACTTTCCTTTACATGAGGGATAAAAACAGCACGCTGATATCTGTGGGTGTCCTTTGCTTTGACATGAAAGCCTGTGTTACAAGCTGCAGATGTGGACTTCTGCAGCCAGTTTCACAGACGCGCCTGTTGCAACTGAACAAAATAGGAAAGAAAATCCTACTTTGTTGGTTTTGCTAAAGGCGAGATCCTACAGTATATAACTCGTTATAAATTGTTGGCATCAAAAGCTATTTTATTTGCTCAAGGACGCTGTACACAACATAAGACATCACAGCGGCCTGACTCTGAGACAAGTCTAACTAGATAAACTCGTGACAAGTTAGGTGTTTGTGAAACCGGCAGGTCTAAGATGAGATGCTACTGACTGATAGATGGGAGGTGCAATGTATATTGTTTCTGGAAAATGATCAATACTAGGCACTAAAGTCAGGATATTATAGCCTGTTCTGCATCAATTCTATATCTGTCTCTTATATCTGGAGTACCCCTGTTTCTGTGCACCAATCCTTTATGGTAGGTCCATAATTGCATAGAGGACTCCCTTTACTATGGATAAAACCAAAGGAAACATGGGGTCA